CCTCACCAGGGAGGCGTCCACGAGGCATCCTTACCAGATGCCCGAGCCACCTCAACTGGCTCCTCTCGACGTGGAGGAGCAGCGGCTCTACTCGGAGTCCCTCCCGGATGACTGAGCTTCTCACCCTATCTCTAAGGGAGAGCCCAGCCACCTTGCGGAAGAAACCCATTTCGGCCGCTTGTGTCCGGGACCTCGTTCTTTCGGTCATGACCCAAAGCTCACCGGTAAATCGAGAGCTTCGCTTTCTGACTCAGCTCTCTCTTCACCACGACGGACCGGTACAGCGCCCGCCATGACATCAAAAAATGCTCATTAAAATGACATAAAATTAGGATTTAGACCAAATATTTATCCATTATTGTAACCAACAAGACAAATGAAATAATATCTCTGGATCTGCTAATGATATCAGGATCATCTAAGTATCAAAATGTAGCTTTTAAAGGCAGGAATCTGAACATATGATTAGGTCATTTTCACCAAATTTGACTTAATCCTCATTTTGATGTGATGGGTCACATACCTAATAAATCTCAATTAGAGGGCTAAAATTCTTTCTAATTTTTCACAAGCTAAACGTCAAAAGACTCTGTGTTTAGTACACAAACCATCAGGCTGTCAGAAAACTGTTTGTGGTGATTAAAGWTCATGCTTTTGCCCTTTACAGGATCTGTCCAGAAAAGACTGCAACCTGGCTGCCCAGCTACTGCAGCGCTCCAAGTCTCACCACAGAGCGCACAAGTTGTCTGAGGTGAGCTCCCCAGCACTACAGCTACAACTGCAAATAGTCTTAAGCTGTACAAAATAACATATAAAATGTTTCCAATTAAAACAGAGTGCATCTTAGTGTATATAGCTGAAACTGTTGTGTATAAAAGGAGTGTTGCTGTTCCAGTGGATTTCACAATAAGACAAGGCCACGGTGCTCATAGCCTCTCTGGTAAGACTGATGGAGGTCTGCTGTCTGAAGTGTCGTCTGTCTACATYCTGGCTGTGCATACTGAATACATAATCAGACTACTTAGCACCAGATGCACAAGAARTAAAGGAGTAAGCAACAAGGTTGACGAAGCTCTGCAAAGTTTTTACTGTAAATAATATTTCTGTAATTTCCATTTAGAAAGGCATGTGAAATACATCTTTCTGTAGCAAATATTAAAGCCTTTCATAGTCTGCGTTTGACAGAATTCGGTTGCATCTTTGCAAATGTTGCCATGACTCAGATTAGTAATTTATAATTTCTTCTTATACTTCTTGCCTTTGTTTACAAATATTTAGAGGGTGATGAAGTCATTTATTATATTACCAGAACAGGTAGCTCCAATTGTTTCCAAGCTGTTTAGTATATATTTATTGACAAACACAATGTCTCTTCTCCACAGCATGACGCTACCTCRGCCATGTTTCTGTTCTAAAGCAGCGGTCCCCAACCTTTATTGAATCAGGGACTGGTTTGATATAAAACAAGCATCCCACAGACAGGTGGAGACCTAAACAAAGCAGAGCTAGTCAACTAGCAAAGTTTGTTTTTCACTCATTTCTGCTAAGATTAACTTGTAGGTTTGCAAGCMAGCAAAAACAACTGAGTCAACACTGAAGAGGAGCAAATGGAAGTGGTCATTTTTCTAAATAAAAAACTCCAGAAAACAATGCATATGCAAATATTTTTATGGATTTTTTTTCTTTTTCTGACCTGTTAATTAATTTATTACATTTTATAATTAAACAAATTGAAACAAACTAGAATTCTTGCCATAAAATGTCTGAAACATAGCAATTGTAAAAAGTGGACAAGATTATGTAAAAACATTTTTCATGGARGACAACTGCAAGTCGTACCACTCTTACCAAGTGAAAACCAGAGCTTCCATATGTTTTGTCAGGTTTAAAGTGGAAATTTATAATCACTTTAAGTGTGTATGATGCATTAATGTCAAGTTTGACACAAATTATCAAAAAATAATAACAATTGGAAAAGATTAACTAAAATGTTGTGCTTTGTTTTGCAAAATAAAATCCAAATTTTGATAATCCAAGATGTAAAATAAGTGTTTTTTCATTAATATGCGTTTCTAGTCTCTGTCTGTTTTATGCTTCAGCATCACTTTTCTAAATGAAAGATTACTTTGAGATGTGTGTTATGTCATGTGAAGTAACACTGCAGATCTTTGCAATTGTTAATTAAGATTTGATTTAGATGGCAGCTATTGCTGAGCTAGCTTAGTCGCAGCATAAACTGTATATTATCTTTCGCACCCCTCCCTCACAGCCTCATCTACTTTCCATCCCTATTCCCTCTGGGAGAGTCAACAGCTGCTAAAAATAGCTCATACTTTAAACATGCAGCGTAGTTCATGTCAAGGCAAGCTGCAATTTCTTAACAAAGGCAAGTTATATACTGTGTATATA